CCGCGTGAGTCAATGCCAATTCTCCTCCCACCTTGATAATGAAGTCTAGGCTCCTGAAGCACACGTGTGCGCCTGGAACCTAGCTGATGCCATGGTTAGCCATTCATGGCCTGATGTGGAACGCGCAAAGGTCCCCTACCTGTCACGCCAACTGTCGGTGTTTCGAACAAATACCAACTAGTAAATTTATATTTGTTGCGTGTTAGGCCCGGATGGTGTGCTAAAGGACACAATGTTTATACTGGTTCGAGCAGAATGTCTCTACGTCCAATCTACTGCTGCTCGTGTTATTAGCACCGAAAAAGGTTCGTAGTAGGGGGTACAAACGGTCGAGAGAGGGACAGGTCCCAAGTCTCCGATGGAAGGGTTAAAAGGATGCCAAGAGCTTGATTGCTGCTTGATCGTGTGTTGTGTGATGTGTTGTGTATGAAAATCGATCTATCCCCTTAGTGGGGTGTCCTGCCCTCCCTTTTATAGACCAAGGGGGGAGCAGGGGTTACAGATGGGAGAAAGAGGAAAAAACCAAAGGTAGAGAAGGTCCTTCGAAGGTGTCGGGTCTTCCTTTTCCCTTGAGCCTGCCCTGCTGACATGGCAGACCACGCCAGGGATAGCATGTTTTGCTGATCCTGATAGGGCCGGGCTCTGGCTTCATTTTAGCGAGTGGTCACGTTCCATCCTCTCCCGGCGGATGGTGCGGTGTGTCAGGGTGCCGAGCCATGACTCTACGGGGAGTAGACGGGGAAGTGACTACACGTCTGTTATTGTTGATGACGTGAGTTCCCTATTGGATTGTAGTGGTTGTCGTATGCTCATGTTAGGATCCGCGCCCGAGGGCTGATGGCGGCACCCACAACACTGTAAGACCAAAGTCGACGCCAACAACACTGTTCGGGCTCTGCCATGCCTGGAAGGGCTTAACACGCCCGTCCCATGGTATCCTGATGGTACTTTTCTACAGGCATGCAGGGTATGGTCATCGGTACTGCGGTTGACTCGAATGTCCTGTCTTACCCCGTGCTCGTCATCATGAAGGAGCAGGGCGCAGTCGTCGGGCGAGGCGGAGCCAGCCCTTAGCCATCGGGCGAGGTGGAGCCAACCCACAGCCGTCAAGCGGGGCGGAGCCTACCCTCAGACGTCGGGCGAAGCGAGAGCCAGCCCTCAGCCGTCGAGCGAGGCGGAGTCTAGCCCTCGGGATTTGGGCGAGGCGGAACCAATCTTCCGGCGTTCGGGCAAGAAGTGTAGTAGCGTTCTTATCTGACCGAAAGCGTCAACGTTCGATGATTATTAGCTCCACCTCATTGGGTACCCCGGTATTAGGTCCCCGACAGCCGGGGATAGGGCTGAGCGCCATTGGGAAAGGACCCGAGTATCACGAACGAGCCCTACCTGGATCATGATGGCGAGGGTGATGGTGCGGGTGTGACGGTGCGACGGCGAGGACAGAGAACTGTGACGTGCTTCAGGCTTGGCTAGCTTCTCCCGATGGCGGCGCCTCCAAGGGCTCGTCCATTTGGCGAGGGCGACGACGCGGGTATGACGGCTAGGGCGACGGTGCAGTACGACGGCGAGGGCGGCGATGGTGCGGGTACGACGATGAGGGCAACGACAACGCGGGTGCCACGGCGAGGGCGAGGGCGAGGGTGAGTGCTGCCGGTCATCGACCGAAGGGGAGATATCGCGGCACGGACTAGGAAGGAAGGTTCAAGAGATCGGGAGCGTGCGGGACTTGCGGATGAGATTAGGCGCCCGAGATTCCGGTTTCTTCCCTTCCGTCGGTTTGGTGCGGCGCGGAATCAATAGCGCGGAGCGGCATCGCAGGGGCCATCCCACCTGCAGGTGCCGAGCAGGATCGCAGGGGCGCACGGCAGGACGAGGCGACGAATGTCGCACAAAAAAGTGTCCACGCTTTGTTCTTTTTAGTTGTAGGAGATACAACAGAAGTGCAAAGTGCATACACTCCACGTCCGCTCACAAGTGCATGTCCAAACACGTGAGTGTGTCCAGACATAATTATTTCTTCAGATTTGCTAGCGCCCGGACGTCCGATCTAGACGCCAGTTTGGAAGCTACCTGCAGAGGGAGCGAAAGAGCGCCTAGCGCGTTGGGCTCGTGAGGGAGCGCACCAATAGTGGTCCCGCGCCACCACGGACATCACCCACGCCGCCCCGGACGTCGTCCGCGCCGCCGCCCGATTCCCACGTGCATCCCATGTGTAACACCCGATCTACTTTTGAAACATTCAGATGCAACAGTTGTAACATACAAAAGAAGACATATGAAGCACTTAAAACAATTGTCTGAAACACTTGCAAAAACGCGTGAAAAACATTTGAAAACCATTGCAAACATATGCAACATCCAGATGAAACACTTGAAAACATACATATGAAACACCTAAAAACATTTGAAACATACGCTTGCAACATGCATGTATATGCAACATCTAGATCTACTTTTTGCAACATCCAGACAAACACTTGCAACATTCGTATAGAACATATGAAACATTTAGAACATATACTTGAAACATACATGTATAGCCATTACAACATGTGTAATATCCCGATCTATTTTTGCAACATCGATATACAACACTTGCAACATACCTTGAAAACATCCGAAACACGAAACATACTATTGCAACGGGGCTTTCGGCGTAGCATCTGCTTATTGCTTGGACGAATGGAGGCTAGTCGACGCGAACTCGACGCCGGCACGGAGCTTGAAGCCACGGAGTGGCGCGTAGGTCGCTGGTGTGGGGCTTATCGGCGGCACGGACCTAGGCTAGGGTAGGTGGATGGAGCACGGCCACGACAGGAGGCGCGAGTCCGGGAGCGAGCTAGCAATCACCTAGCGCGTCGGTCTCGCTGTGCGCGGCGCGGGCGGGCGGCGGGGGCGTGAGCAGGGGGCAGGGGCAGCACGGGCGAGGACGGAGCCCGTCCCACGAGCAGAGTGAGCGGACGACGCGAACAGAGACGGCGTGGCCGAGCGCGGGTCTTTTTGATTTGCATCGATCTGTCTCCGTGTCTGTCTCTCCTCTGTCTATGTACTACCTGCCCGAGCAATAGCCTAGCTGCTAATACCTTGTGATGGATGGATATATGCAGCTGCAGCTGCTAGCTAGACGCGGTCGTCGGCGGTGGTGGTGCCGCCGTTGGTTCTGATCGACATCATCGTCGTCCCATGCCCGTTGAGCTGCTGCTGCTGCTGCTGTTTGAGGTGCTTCATCTCTCTGCCTTTGCCCCAGAGGAAACCGTAGAGTCCGAGGATGATGAGCACGTCGCCGAGCAGGCTGCCGACGGAGACGTCGGTGCCGAGCAGCAGCGAGTCGAGCACGGTGGTGGCCACCAGCGAGAGGGAGTTGAACATGGACGGGTAGATGGGCCCTCGCCTCGTGATGGCCCAGGAGATGAGGCAGAAGGTGGCGGCGGTGTTGAAGACGCCCGAGTAGACGACGGTGACGAGGCGCAGGTCCCACGACAGTCGCCACGACGCCGGGTCGCCCCTGCTGATGACGGCGCCGATGGCGAGCGCCTGGACGGCGCCGCAGACGCAGGCCAGCAGCGTGGACAGGTACTTGCAGGGGAACACCCTCCCGACCCTGGCCTGCACGATGAACCAGAGCGCGTAGGCGAGGCAGCTGCCGCACAGGTACACGGTGCCGAGCGGCATGTTGCGGTGGTGGTGCGGGGCCGTGGCGGCGCGGTGCCGGAGCAGGTGCGTCGGCCACGGGTGCAGCAGCGGGCCCCTGTAGAGGCTGGCCACCATGGTGCCGCCCACGCACACGGCCGTGCCGGCCATCTTCGCCCGCCCCGCCCACGTCCCCGCCGCCAGCTTCTCCACGCGGAGCAGCACCGCCATCAGGAAGGTCACCACGGGGATGAGGTTCAGGAAGTTGACGGAGATGGCGGCCGTGGTGGCGCGGAGGCCGTAGTAGTGGAGACCCATGGCGAGGACGATGCTGAAGAGCGCGCTGATGGACATCCACCCCAACACCTTGAAGGTCACCTTTGGTACCATGGACCTGCACGCACCCGTCACCGCCACACATACACCATGGACGGACCACAGTAATATAATGCTTACTCTGTTAGTTAACATGCACATAGTGTGGTGCTGGTGTCTGGCCTGTGAACTGTGATAGCCTGCTGGCCGCACATCACACACACAGGTCTGGCAGTGACAAAGCAGGCATCAGCCAAACTGCCAAAGTAAAGATGAATGAGACGACTGCATGCTGTAACTGGCACAGGGTAGCAGTGACAAATATATATAATAATAATAATGCATGGTATGGCTAGCACAATTACTAATTTGCAAAGATAACTGCCTAGGCTCTGCCAGCCTAGCTACTCATCACTACTGGGCATTGGCTAGGCTCTTCCAGCCAAATTCATCACTATTGCAAAGTTAGTGCTAATTTCTTAGGATGTGGCTAAGTGATAAAAATTTCTGCCGTGGCCCTGTGGGGGCTTTGGAAATCAAGGAATGCGTGGTTTGTGTTTTCAGGAGGGTAATTCGAAGGATGTGAAGTCCTTGATCCTGAAAATTGCAATCATCGTCCAGGGCTCTGGTTGATTATCTACCCACCGGACCACCATCTGGAGTACAATTCCAAACTTGCCGAATTGAGAAGAATTGCATCAAGTCCAGCAAGATTGACATGTTGAAGCATGCAAGAGAGATCAATACAATGGGAGAAGCTTCTTATGCCTAAATGCTACAGACGGGAAATAAGACAACTACCTGCCGGCCGAAGCAGAAGGGTTGTTGTCCAAGAGTACTTCTTGGTCTTTTACTCGTATGCCATTAAAAAAAGATGGTCTAATCATTTATGTTCCTAAAAAGTTTGATCTATCGTCAGTGTCCAAGCTCGAAAAATCTTTTCTCTCTCACGCCATTCTGTCCGCCTTCTATTTGATTTGCGCCGTTTGGCTGTCCAAACGAGTGGAGTCGCTGTGGCAAATGACTTCAATTGCCCCTTACCGTTGGAATTAGAGATGGAGGCCGTGTTTACCGGTATTGACCGCTCTCACTCTCCTCGTCTGGCTCGACTCCTCCACTCCCTCCTCTACAACGTGCAGACATTCAGCGGGCAGCAGGGCATCTCGACGCCGACGTCCTCCATCGACGACGCCGCGCAGGTCCGTCGCCGACTCGACCGCCGGTCTAGCGTACGTTTTTGTGCTGTCGTCGTGGATCAGACCGGTGATCAGACTGAAACTGTTGGCATGCAGAGAGACTCGTCGTTCTACTCCCGCGCCGGCTCGACGAGGGAGAGCCCGGTGATCCTGCCGCCGACGGCAGCGGTGGGCAGGGAGCAGCCGATCGCCCGCGCCACCTCGTGCAGGGCCATGGCGGCGGCGGTGGCGGCTTCCACGGCCCGAGCCGCGTGCAACCCATCGTCCAGTGCCGTGCCGGACCACTTCAACCTGCTCAACTCCGCGCGGGCGCCGGCGGCTGCTCCGCACCTGGACCCGTCGCGCGCTACCACGTCGTCCCTGGACGAGGCGTCCGTGTCCGTGAGCAACGCGAGCGACCTTGAGGCCACGGAGTGGGTGGAGCAGGACGAGCCCGGCGTGTCCATCACCATCCGCGAGTTCGGCGACGGCACCAGCGAGCTCCGCCGCGTCCGATTCAGGCAAGTCCATGGCCACTAGCTACTCAATCTCCCGATGCAAGACATCAAATCATGCTGTAAATCTTGTCATGCTAATGGGATATGAACTCGCGTTCTTGTGTGCTGTTGCTGCAGCCGGGAGAGGTTCGGCGAGGATAGGGCCAAGGTGTGGTGGGAGCAGAACAGAGACCGAATACACGCGCAGTACCTGTGACGTCGGAGCAAGCTAGCTAGCTCCTGGATGTGCAGCGCACGCCTTGGATGCAAGCCAAGCCACCGATCCATGGACAATACTAGAGTACTGTAGGGCTGAGTGATACTACTATCTGCTAGTGCTAGTTTTTACAGGGTGAACAGAGAGATGAAAGAGGTCCACGGAATGGAGCCTGTGTAAAACATGTTTGCTACTACTGATCAGGGTTTGCGTGTTGATGACCAATGTATTTTTTTCCCTTGGTGATGCACTAATATTGTATTGCGTTGATCTCATCAGATTAAGGGCCCGTTTGGTTCTTTCCCCTCCTCCTAAAATTCCTGTCACATCGAATGTTTGACACATGCATAGAGTATTAAATATAGACTAATTACGAAACTAATTGCACAACTTGTGACTAATTTACGAGACGAATCTTTTAAGCCTAATTAGTGCATGATTTGACAACGTGGTGCTACAGTAAACATGTGCTAATGGTAGATTAATTAGGTTTAAAAAAATCGTTTTGGAAATTAGCCTCTATCTATGTAATTGGTTTTGTAATTAATTTATATTTAATGCTCCTTATTAGCCTCTAAACATTTCATGTGACGTAAATTTTAGAAGCGACTAAAGAACCCAACATCCCCTAACTATGCTCACATTTTCTAAGCGCGGGCACAGATCATCCACAAGAGACCCAGCAAGCTGCCCCTGGTATAGACAAAAAATTCACTCTGCAATGACAAAAGAAAGCAAGACTAAAATTCTCTCCAGTTTCGCGTTTTTGACAAGTCGTGTACCATAAGGAGGACGCGTTTGCCATCGTTACATGACGTACGTCAAATTGACACTTTACTGCGTCCTCACTTGTGGGCTGTACAGTGTCCATCCCTTGTTGGGCTCAAGGATTTACATGCTATTAATGTGAATAAAAACGGCTTGACAGAAAGATTGATGCAAGACAAACCAAATCAAATTAATATCACAATCATGTTTATTAAAACATGGGGGCAAGCTTGATGCTGGCAACAAGCAGATCAACGGCCCGCAAGTTGGCGCCAAGGCCAACCTTGTTGGCGCCAAAAGCCATCAGGTTGCCGCCCAGCACGCAGTGGCACATGAGAAATAAAAGTTCTAGGGGCATTTAAGTCTTTTGTCACCCACATTTCACACCATTAGTGCTGCAAATAGACAAAATGATGTGAGAGAGAAAAGTTTTTCGAGCTTGGACACCGACGATAGATCAAACTTTTTAGAGACATAAATGATTAGACCATCTTTTTTAATGGCATACAAATAAAAGACCCTACTTCCTTTGAAGCAGTTGGTTCTGCCGGGCAAATGGGTGAATTTGGCTTAGCCCTATAACTTTTTTTTAAATATCGAAATAATAAACCTGTTTGTTGGCCATTAGCGTTGAATGATGAAACCTGGCCTGATCGAGCAAAAGGAAAGAGAAGCTAATAAGTCCGCCAGTCCAAAGTGCTACACTACCTAAGCCAGCAGGAGTGTACGGCGACGACCTTTCATTTCCAAACAAAGTGAAAAAGGAAAAAAAAAAGATGATGCATCCACTGCACATCCTTGTCTGTCTGTAACAGAATACTAACTGCACAATACAGAGAACGCCACACTTGGGCCTGGTTTAGATTGCAAGTTTTTTCACTCTCTCTCAATCACATCAAATCTTTGATACATGTATGGAGTATTAAATGTAGATAAAAAAATAACTAATTACATAGTTTGATTGTAAATTACGAGACGAATCTTTTGAGTCTAGTTAGACCATGATTGGACAATAATTATCAAATACAAACGAAAGTGCTACAGTGCCAAATACTGATCCCTAACCCTAATCTAAACAAGGCCCTGAGATATGAGTTTTGTCTCATCAGGTCGGGGAATATATTGAGATGTTAGGCTATCTGGATAAGCCATATAGGAACCCAAACCCAAAATAGATATTGAATGATACTATATCAGCCTCCAACAGAGTACTTATATGTGAGACTTATTTTAGATTGCAGCAGAGTCACAACCCAAATATAAGTATTCTCTCTCCTGAAGACTCATTTGCAGAAAGAGTTCTCTTTTAGGTTATGTTGTTGGAGAAGATCAAAAATGGATAATAAACACTTTGTCTGTAGCGCTACTAAAATATGAAATGGATCTTATATTTTAAGTGATGTTGTTGAGATAGTCTTAGACATCATCAACAGCATGCGGCAAGGATTGAATTGAAGAGGATTCATATATACAGCATTGAACGGAGTATACAGCATTTGGGGCAAAGGAGACAAGGTGTGTCATGTCTGTCTAGCACCTGTCGTGCTAATCCGAGCGAAGGCATTAATTGAAGGAACTAACAGACTGATCGACGACGCTACAAGTACACTCAGAATCACAAGACGGCACTCGACACGGCCGGCATATCTATCTATGGCCTTGTCTAGATACCCTTAAAATTCTAAGTTTTTTCACTCTCTTTTTATCACATCAATTTTTAGCCATTTGCATGGAGTATTAAATATAGGTAAAAAAAATAACTAATTACACAGTTTAATTGGAAATCACGAGATGAATCTTTTGAGCCTAGTTGGTCCACGATTGGACAATATTTGCCAAATAAGACAAAAATAGTACTATTCATCAGGTTGAAAAAAGTTGCAATCTAAACCTGGCCTCTGTCTCTCATCTCATCCGATCCCTTTTGATTTGACGGCAGGTACATCGATCATATGCCGTCTCTAGCAAGTTGAAGCATGCACGTTCTTCTTATCAGGCCTTCTTTAGATTCTGGTTACAAATCAGTATTTAACACTGTAGTACTTTCATTTGTATTTGATAATTATTGTCCAATCATGGTCTAACTAGGTTTAAAAGATTCGTCTCATAATTTACAATCAAACTATGTAATTAGTTATTTTTTTATCTACATTTAATACTTCATACATGTGTCTAAAGATTTGATGTGATGAAAGAGAATAAAAAAACTTACAATCTAAACAAGACCTCAGCATTTCTTTACACGTACGTACGTGAACCTAGGTAGCTAGCTAAGCTAGGATCCCTTTTGCAGTTTTGCATCCTTGTCAAGACAAGGCAGGGCAGGCAAATATATTCTGGCAGTCAAATCAAATGCCTGTCAAGCAACCAATCCTAAACCACCAGGATAGCTGCCTGTGCCTGGGCAAACAACCAAACACCCTCGTATAGCTAGACTTTTTTTATCATCAAATCAAATTAATTTGTTCATATATGTTACATATCTCGTTGTTATATTGTTTTTTGTGAACGTAAGTCTTTGTTATATTGTGGTTGGCCAGCTGCCAGCTGGTATACATAGACTGCAGTAGTCATCAAATAACTACTAGCACACGACAAGTTAGAGTTTGTTTACTTTGTGACACGAGGGAAATTATCTAATTCAGACCTTGTTTAGATACCCTCAAAATTTCAAGTTTTTTCACTTTCTCTCTATCACATCAATTTTTAGCCGTTTGCATGAAGCATTAAATGTAGATAAAAAAATAACTAATTATACAGTTTAGTTGGAAATCACAAGATGAATCTTTTGAGCTTAGTTGGTCTATAATTGAACAATATTTATCAAATAAAACAAAAACACTACTATTCATTAGTTTGAAATTTTTTTCAATCTAAACAAGGCCTCATTCAAGTTGCTTCATACTACTATACAGTTATTATTGCACACATCATGCTGCAATATATATAATGCATTAATTGTGGGTGCGTACTACTAGGTAGGTAGAGGTATCTGTCAAAGTAGAGGGCAAAGGGAGCGACGACGATGGCGCCGATGAGGTTGCGGTAGGCGAGCAGGACGAAGGGCTCCATTCCCACGTTCAGCGCCAGCTTCGACAGGAGCAGGGCGCCCATGGTGAAGGCCTGCACCAGCACCATGCTCGCCGGCAGCATCACCGCCTCCATGGACCATGCCATCTTCGTCGTCGTCGTCTTCTCGCCCGGTCCACCTCCACAATCCTGATGTTCGACGCTGAACGTACGATCGATCTCGCTCGATCGTCGCCGACCAACGACGAGCTCGACGCCGCCGCCGCCGCTTCCGGCCGATCCTATATATGAAGCCTGATCTGCAGTCGTCTCGTCTCCCTGCACAGACGACGACGACGATGGATGGATGGGATGGATGGATTCTCACAGCACAGCAGACTAGCTAGCTAGCAGAGCACATGGATAGATAGGAAAACTCCCCATTTGCTTTCCATCTCGGCCATCCGTTTTTATTTGCATTGGCTCTCTTCTTCCGTCTACATATCAATCAATCAATCAGCCGGTCGCCCATCCATGCATGCCAGCAGGAGCGGTGGACAACATACACAGCTTAGGTTGTGATTAGTTCACGAAATGAAAATGTTTGATGTTATATCGGATGTTTCGGGGATGTCGAAAGGGGTTTTTGGATATTAATAAAAAAACTAATTACATAGCTCGTCTGGAAACTGCGAGACGAATTTATTAAGCCTAATTAATCCATCATCAACGCATGTTAGTACTGTAGCATTTATGGCTAATCATGGACTAATTAGTCTTAAAACATTCGTCTCGCGATTTTCAATCAAACTGTGCAATTAGTTTTTTTCGTCTATATTTAATATTCCATGCATGTGCCGCAAGATTCGATGTGATAGTTTGGGATGAAAATTTTTGGAAACTAAACCAGACCTTAATTACTATGCAATGTCAAAAAGAAAAAAAGAGTCACTAACTAGCTAGCTAGTCATTCGAAAATCTAACTGAGACGATGAGAGCTATCTGATATGATCCAGTGGTGCACGCAACTTAAGTTTATTCGCTTTGCTTTGCATTAATATATAAAATATATAGGAGCAGGCAGGCAAGTCTTGCATGATTCAATTGATATATAGGCACGCACAGTACTGTCATAGGAGATTATTGTATTGTACTTATAGCAACTTGTTACAATTAGCTACTAGTCAATAGGGACCAAGCACAGAGTTCAAACACAACAGCAAACTATAGTTTCTTTAAAGATTAGGTGAAGTACGGTCAAGAACACATCCAAGAATATATATTAATAATTAAGCGCGTTATACACTCTGCTCAATCATGCATGCCACACAGCACATATATAGATAATAACATCACCTAGCTAGTACAAACGACAACACTAGTACTATATTTAATTTGACCTGATAATTGTACTAGTACTCCATTCATCACAAATTGTAAGCCATTCCAAAAATCTTGGAGAGTCAAACTTTTTCGAGTTTGACTAAAATTATAGAGAGAAACACAAAGATTGATGACATCAAATAGGTATAATATGAAAATATAACTAATGAAGAATCTAATGATACTTACTTGGTATGATAAATATTATTATTTTGTTATATAAATTTGGTCAAACTTGAAAAACTTTGACTCTCCAAGATTCTTGGAATGACTTACAATTATTTTCACCAACACCATTTTACCATTGTTTTTCCTTTAAACCAATAGTGATAATATATCACCACCAGTCTGGTTTTCACCGCCTGTTCGAGGCACGAACCAGTGGTGAAAACCAGCCTTAAGTGTCTAACTAGAACCCTAGAGCATTCTCACTCTCCCACCTGGGCACCCCCCCTTCAATCTCTTCCTCGGCCGCTACTCTTCTCACCTATAGGCGTGACGATGGTGGACCTGCCCCTACCTCCTAGCCCGGTAGCGGTAGACCCTTGGCTCGTCCCCCTTGTATTGGTGTGATGGTGTCACCTGCCACCCCCTCAGCCAAATCCAACATGGATGGGGGGCTGGCCTCGCCCCTCCCTCCCTAGCCTAGTGGTGGCGGCGCTCCCCTATCTCTCCCAACAAGCTCACCTCATAGTGGCGGGCCCCTTCTCCTGGCATGACGTGGTGCCCACCAACCCCTTCAACTAGATCCACCATGGACAGGGGTGGTGACCCTGCCCTTTCCTCCCTAGCCTGTTGCATCCCTCTCAATGAGCAGGGCTCGGCGGCGGTATCCCTTCTAGCACGACAATGGCACCCACTGCCACCCCCTCGTCCAGATCTGTTGTCGATGGGCACGGTGAGACACAGGTGAGGTAGATGGGGACGACGACACACAGATCTATCGTTTTTTATTTTTATTCCCTTTTTACCGCCTGTTTGTAAACCACCCATGACCAACTCCATTTTCACTGCCGCCGAGCAAAACCGACGGTGATAGAGGCTTTAATTAGGCCCGGCGGTGATGGTGTTATTGTAGTAGTGATCTCAGGCTACTATTTATTATGTTACTAGCTATTTATATATAGTAATCTTCTTTCGTAAAGTTTAGTTACAGTTTGGACTCTTCGTTGGATGTTACATACATACAACCGGACGTACATATACCTAGCTAGATGTCATGGAACCCTCTCCCAATATATATATATATATATATATATATATATATATATATATATATATATATATATATATATATATATATATATATATATATATATATATATATCCTATATGCATGATGCATCCCAAATTTAACAATGCTTCTTCCATTTCAATAGCTATATATGCAAAGTCATTGCAGTATAAATGGGGAGTGATTATACTTACATACAGTATGTCCCATGAATTGGAATGCTATACTAGCATGGATGTATATTGAGTATATATGGTTCTAAATAGCCCGCTATAGGTCTGCTATATATAGTTTATTCATAGGGTCTACCGTACAATAGTGCCAATTGTTTCGCTATTGCCACTAATTAATGACGCTTAGCTCCGCTAAACACCGTTAGGCTTAGCCATAAATATTTTTCACACCGTTGATCCTGACTAAGACAAATATTCATTCCTTACTCTTGAGGACTATAACCTATGGCTTTCTTTATTTAATTAATTATGTAGTAAACCCTTGGATAAACACTGAATTGTTGAATAAACTATAGCCATGAGTATGTGAATGTTGAGATCCTGTTGGCATAGGCAGGTTCACAGATCCCAATATTTCGCCATTCGCCATTGCTTTGTTGCCCCTAGTTCCTACTCTATCTGTTTTACCTATATATGCATGCAGAGGCAAGCTATATGTATAGAACTTGTCAGAAAGTCAAGAAAAGGGCAGAATCTAATCGATTAAATAAGGGTATAACCAAACAATTTGAGGAAACTTACTGTTATTATTGTTTAGTAATCCCTTTTTGCGTCGGCTGCGACGATTATTCTTTGGAAACGCAAGAAGCTGGTGTGAAGTTGGAATTGATATGAAATCAACCTTATGGTTCGAGGTAATCATATCCATTTGCCACATGCATATTGAAAGAAAGGCTAGGAAGGCGAGCATGATATAGCTAAAATGGATGGAAGGAAAATGCTGAAAGAAAGGCTAGGAAGACGAAGAAGAAATGAATGGATGCTACATATGTGGTGTTGTTGACCATGCACATGGATGTTAATTGTGGAGACAAATTAGTTTAGTTTGTCGGAGAGATCTCGAGAAACAAGCATGCATGGTCAGTATATGACGCACATGGAAAATAGCTAGCTAGTCCTAATAACTATAAAAAGACTACTAAGTCTTGAGCATGTGGGCTTTTCTACACACACCGTCTAACAGATGGATCGAGTGAAACGTGGGCAATTATTTCAGCCAATGACTCTCTTTTTTGCAGTTATGAACTAGAGGAGGAACGGAAAGGATGGAGGTGACCAAACATGCATGTGACATATGTGTGATGGGAGGGCAGCATTGTTTGCGGGTATATTAGTGCTGTTTAAGCAACAAATTAAGTGTGTAAATTGCAGTATAAAAAAGACTACTAGGTACAACAGCACTCCCGGCCCATCCAAAAAGCGAGAAAGTAACGAGCTTGCATTGTTTAATTTGCCCACAGCGATTGCACACTTGCACTGGCCAGAGCCATTCTTTACATGTGTAGATGCAGCAGGTGGCCGGTGGACTGATGACATGAATGCACGGAACGGTTTGCAGTTTTTGCAGCACATACAAAACCTTGACTACTACTTGTCTCTCTATTAGAGAATAAAAATTGTTTTCTTCTTCTTCTAGATCTTCCATCCACACGTACGTAGAGACTGAGACCACTTCACCTTTAATTTCTTCTCTCTCTCTCTCTCTCTCTTTTTTTCTGTTTTGATGATTGCTCATCAGACAGCATCCTCTCTTTGTTGCGTCGCTTGCTTTGGTTTCTCTTGGCCGTCCCTGTCTATTGCATTAATATTGCTGGATGGAGGAGGAGCATCTGATGCCTCTTTGGTCTTTGCCCAGAGGACAAAGTATAACCCAGCAATTACAAGAGCAGAGCCCAGGGCGCTGCATGGATCGAGAATCAAATAATTAATTAAAGCACATAATAATAATAAATCAATACTGTATTTTTTGACTAAGCAGTTGAATCAATTGGAATAATTTGCACATTGGATCGATCGGAGTAAGCTAGCGAGGGTGATGCATGCATGCATATTATGTATGTATACTAGTAGTAGCTAGGTACTGTACCTTCCAACATGGAGCTGTTCATGGAGAGCGACGACGTTGATAGCACCTGCTATCAGCTGTATCAGAGGTGTGAATGCAGTGGTAAAGACTGGACCTCTTTGCTCGATGCACCAAGACATGGCCAAGAAACCAACTCCAGACCCCATTATCCCCTTAATAATTAATAACAGAGCAACACTAGTCAATAATTAATGGTCTATATATAATCATCGATCTAAGTTAATTATAATCTGAATTAATTTGCCTCTCATGTTAATTACATACCACAAAGAGCACAGTGATGATCTGAAGCTTGGTTCTGAGGATCCACACTGACAGGTCCCTCTCTGTGGCCAGCCCCACGGCAGCCATCTGAAGGAAGCTGAGCAAGAACATGAGGGCATTACCAGAGTAGAGCGCCGGGTACTTCTTCCCCAGTCTTGACTGGAGGATGAACCAAAAGGACCAACATGCTGCGCCTGCAAGTAGAGCCACGGACCCAATCGCCCATTGATGATGTGCGCCAACGCCATGTCCCGCCGCAGCCGCCATTGCTGCTCCAGGTGCAGCAGGTGAGGGTTTGGTCAGTGATGGACCTTGGTAGAGTGCAAGCAGGATCGCTCCTGTGAACCCTACTGTTGTGCCAATCACCTTCGCTATGCCGGCTCCAGTCTTGAGGTCCAGTTTCTCCATCCTAGTAATGTATAGCATGCAGTTACACTTAATTACAGCATCAATTAATTAAGTAGCTAGGTAGCATATACTTAATTGATTACGCGTACCCAAAAGGAAGTGCCACAAGAAAAGTGAACATGGGAGTCATGTTGATGAAGGCACATGCAAATGTTGCTGTGGTGTATCGTAGCCCCACGAAGAACAGCCACTGCGTAAGTGAGGCACTACATATATACATACACATACGATATTATTGTGCATGTAATTAACAAAGGAATTAAGCTTTTTGATGATTAGCACAAGTCATGAAAAAAGCATCTCAACTACTACTATACTGAAGAAGAGCGATGAGAGATCACAACTACTTACCCAAGCACTGCACTGAAGAAGAGATACACAAAGATCTCAAGTGTCATCTTAGGCCTTGTCTTCCTACACGCAACATATATATTATGCATGGTAAATCAGCAAGTAGCTAGAGTACATCTAATTATCAACCTTAATTTACTTTTCTATGAAAATTTCATTCCAACTTCCACACAAGTACATTTACAGACAGACAAACTTAATTATTGTGCAAGTATGCAACTACTTTATGCTCAAATAAAATAGGAAAATTTCATCTTAGACACTTGAGCTGTCACTCACAAACTGTCACAAGCAAAGAGATCCTGAGAGATTGTTACGTGTTATAGCACGCAGCTAGCTAGCAATAGCATACCTCTCCCGGTAGTAGGCGATTGGGGCGAGGAAGAGGAAGGCGGTGAGCTGACGGAGCGTGATGAGGACAGTGGTGTGCATCCCTTGGTTGAAGGCCATCTTCGTCAGTGTGTTGAGCACGGCGAACACTACAACAACGGACAGCATTGTTGCCGTAGGCTTCCAGTCACCCCAAGCATAACGGCCCATCGATGATCTCCTCTAAAAAGGATATGAGATTGGAGATCAAGTGATGTGATGGTATCCGATCGATCCAGCAGCTGCAGGGCACGTACTACAATAGAAGCTCTATGCTAGCTCTGCCTCCAATCTGTGTTTGCCTTACACATCCACACATTGCATTCACGCAGGGGCTAGCTATTTATACATGTCCAATGTCCAATTGGCCATGGCCTCCAGCTCAGCAAGCAAGCAATCCTGTTCAGGGAGACCTATAGCTAGCCAGCTAGTTTACTTTATGTGCACTCAAGAATGATACCTTGAATTAAGATAATATATATGTTTGCAGCTGGTGGGCCCAGGGATATTTTTCTACACCATTCGACCGGAAGAACCTATCTGGCAAAAGAATAAAGGTAGAATATTATTGTGCAAGTATGCAACTACTTTATGCTCAAATAAAATAGGCAAATGAAGGATGCTTTAATTTGGAAAAGCTAAGCTTCAGAATTTTCCTTTAAAACAAGGAAACCGTTTTTGCATGTACTATTATTAGTGCTAAGCATAACCTTTGCCGAGAACTCTAAAATAATACACAATAATTTATTAGGTAATGTCCATTTTTTTACCTCTACCTTGCACGTCAGTCTGACTTTTAACCATGAACTATGAAATTATTAGGTATCAGACGTCCTCCAACTGTCAAAATTGGACAAATGTCATCCTCTTGCTGGTTTCAAAGGTGAATTTCTATTTTTGTAAGAATAAAAATGGTTTAATCTCTAAAAATTCATAACTAATATAACTTATAAATTATAAAAGTATGAAACTAGTACCAATTTATTTCTAAAAGGTTATCTATCTAGGTTTTTTTTATCTATTTAGAATTATTTCAAACTGATTTATTTTTATTTCTATATTATTTTATTGCTCATAGTCGTGCTCATTATTTATTTAAAAATGGATATAATCTAAATAACACCAAATAGAGTAGCAATAGATAGACAACAATTTTAAAGAAAACTGGCACTAGTTTCATATTTTTCTAGTTTAAAACAAACTAGGTATAAATTTTCAGAGATTAAACCAGATTTTACTATTTTTAGAATTAGAAAATAGAAACCTACCTTTCAAACCAGTTTTTAGAATTAGAAAATATAGAAGCCTAACTTTGGTCAAGTTTTATAAAATATACAATGACATCAAATTATTTTATTAAATTTTCATTGCATAGTCATGATAATATATTTATTTTAACTTGTACACATGCAGTGCGGATCTCACATGTTTTGCCACATCAAGTTAAATCCCCTGCATAGCACTTGCAATTGTATATGTCAATCGCATAACAGTTGTGTTAGTTGACTTGAAAATTGTTCTTATGCATATATATCTATATATGCAAAATTAGCCCCCAAGGGTTTGGATCCTGCAGGGATCCCACCACGGGCGTGTAGTTGTAAAAAAAATTTCTTGAAAACTTGACCAACATGGAGATTAGGACAAAACTAGAGTTGCGCCTATAATTTAGAACGGAGGGAGTTAAAGAAAATGGTGGAGGAGAATTAAGCTTGCGTATAGAACGAAAGAACAATCTGGCTGAGGAAAAAGAGAAAGTAAAATGGAAAAGCAAGGGTATAGAAGAACCATGCAACCCGTATGTCAATGCATGCATATTTGCATGGTTATTGGGCGGTTGGGCCATGTTTGTTGAGTTGAATTGAAAAAAGAAAGAAACGAAAAGCACCCAGCATATGCTATCTAGCAAGCTTTATTTGTCTCCTTCCATCCACAGTTGAGCGATGCGTGGTGGATGGATTACATTGCTCGCTGTGCAGTGTTCTATATACAAACGCATGCATTTCGTTCCATCCATCCTTTGATCCATTCATCCAGGCGTGTGTGTGTTTAATAATTTCATTTCAGATGAACCAATGGTCTATGTTAGATACAGCACATGGGCGACCAAGTGTAGACAAATCCAAAGACAACAAGGATCTATCTCCATCACTTTCCTAGCTCTCTCTCTCTCTCTCTCTCTCTCTCTCTCTCTCTCTCTCTCTCTCTCTCTCTCTCCATTCTCCATTGCTTTGTTATTTCCTTGCGTCACATGGTATTCTCTGCATATCAGCTGGTCAATGTAATCAACTCAATGATACTACTTGCATGCCAAAATCAATCGATCACTCATATCTGGTGGATACATATGCCATATATATAGCTAGCATGATCTATCGCCACTAACTAACATATATTCTGATCTTATGCTCCTCCAATACATAATAATGAGCATATAGGACTACTGCTAGTTGAACAAAAAAAAACAACAATGTTCGTTGCAAAAAAAACAACAATGTTTTTTTTCCTGGAAGACGCAAAAGGCTTGCGCGTCATTGTATTAAGGTAGATAATAGTTGTTTACAACGCGCCTGATTGGCACCCTAGGGGTGGCCTAGATAGATTAACATGAATGCTCATATACACCCCCCTAGTGTACTATGTCTCTAGGTTGTTACATTGGACAGACAACCAAGGTTCTTGGCATCGACCAAACCCATTGACCTGCCTTGTGCTTGATAACGGCGAGATTTGCTGCAGCTCGGTGGAGACCCCGCGAAAGAATATGGTGTTCCGCTCCTTCCATAGCTCCCAGGCTACCAGGGCAAAAGCGTAATCGGCGCCACATTTGTTGTTTGCAATCCACAACGATCTCCAAGCGGTCCACCAGTTGAAGATTGTGGCATGGTCAGTGAAGAGCCCTGTGGCTGCTCGAGTCTGATAAGGATGTTCCACCACACTTGTTTGACGAAGGAGCAGGAACGTCAATGACTCTGAACCTCTAATCCATGCTTGCGTTTATGGTGAAGTCTTTGCGAACAAACCTCAAATACTTGGTTGCAGTTCGCTTGAAGAAAAGTGATATGCCCCCTCACAGAGGAGGCTTCTACCATCAAGCTATGGCTAGTAGCACATATAGCCATACGTTTCAAGTGTGCACAACCATGCACGTATAGAGTATACTTCTATTCTGGATGTGCCCGAGCTATTTGCCCCCCTGTTCTCTATCTAGCTAGTTGGACCCTCTTGGCCGACACCGTCGGTCCTCGCTTCTCTTGTGGCGGCTTGCATGCCTATCGCCCAACTCCTTGTTGTGTGAGGACACATGGGCGTTACTACAGACTCCGTGTTTGACGAGATGATGACCTCCAAGATGACTAGAACAGAGATTCACCAAATGACGCCCACGGAACAGGCCATTGAGGTGCCCTTAGGGACCTCCGGTACGTGTTTAGATGACAGAACCAATGGTGCTACCGGACTGTCACCTCTATTGAGCATATTGTTTTGGTGGATTACGCATCTAATGATGAAGAAGTTGTCTATTTCTCATAACCATTGAACATTACCCTACATACCCACTCCATGATCAAGGTCGTCATAGAGGAGGCCCGGTTGATAGAGGATCCACTAATAGAGGCAGTGTTCCCTTTGATCGGCACAAATAGGAAGAGCGAGGATCTCGCATGCCCTCCTATATATCCGCCTTCATCGCTGACCATGACAGTAAGACATTAAGTAAGTCCTACGATAGATCACCATTTCGTCGGAGTGCCCGCCTTGCACAATTCAATGTGCTAAAAGATTTAGACATTCTTATGAATGAAGTTTAGGCGACAACACTATCTTCATTGCGGTTGATTGTTTGCTGATGCTGCAAGCGTATTGTTGTTAGTAAAGTTGTCTTAGTCATTGTGATGACTGATATTGTGGTTTCTTTCTGTTGTGTCCCCCCCTCCAAGATTGTTATTTGCTTAAACTAAATCTTCTTCTTTATTAATATAATTGTTAATTGGTAGCTCTCTTGCTCAGCTTGTCAAAAAAACAGAAACCATAGTCGATGATTAAAGGGATATGGGATACGCCAGCTCCCCCCGAGCGCTCCAAGCGGGCGATTCGGGGAGGGGGGCGACCTTCCAACCGACACCGGTAGCCCCTCCTCCCCGCCTCCCCTTTGGCCGCCGTCACCACCCTCCTGCGCGTGGCGGCGGCGGCGGCCTGCACCAGGCCCCAAAAAACGGCTACCCGCGCGCAACCCCGTCTGCCCTCCTCTCTCTACCACACCCCCTCCTCTTTCCTCCAACTCTGGCCAGATCCAGGCATTTGGGAGGGCGACCACGTAGGTCTGGGCCCCCTATGGCCGGATCTGGCACCTGTGACCCATTGCCTGGCGGTGGGGTGACTGGTGGTCGATGGTCATGGTTGGCTCCGTGCGGCCAGCGGTCATGGTTGGCTCCGCGCGGCTGCTTGTGGCCATGCAATGGCCGGATCTGGTAGGCATGTGGCCAAATTCGGCCCCCCTATTGTCTGGCTGGTGCCTGCCAGCCAGGGACATCGGCGGCGGGTAAGGGCTAGGCTTGGCTTGGCCAGACTGGCCAAGGCGGTGGCTTGCCGCACCTGCTCATGCAGTTGGTGGCCCTCCTTTCGACGACGTCCGACCGACGACCTGCGCCATCGACGGCGGCGGTGGTGGTCAGCTTGGGTTGCTGGATCTGTCTGGGTCGGGACAACCCGTGGCTAGATCTAGTCGGCCAGGACTGTCAGCGGCTGGCTAACCTATGGATCTGGCCAGGTAGGGGCGACACAGCCCGTGTGAAAGTGCATTTGCCTCCTATGTGGGTTTTTGGTGTATTGATGACATCCAAATTAGTTACTAATGAGATCTTAATGAGATATATTGCAGCTTTAGTCCCTTGAAAGCTTTAAAAGAGTTGATCTAAGATGAAATGGTGTCCCTTAATTCTTCAAGTGCAAAAAGTGGACGAACCCAAAGCACTCTCCAAAGCCTTTGTGTTTTGTTTTGGGTTTAGGTATGCCGTACTATAAAGAGGGATGCAAGTTTAGGTGGTCTGAGGAAGACACAATGCTCAAGAATAAAAATAAAATCAAAAGAGAGACACAAAATCACCTCACGAACACTTGGACATAGTTTGTGGACTTTTGATAGTCGGAACTTGGTAGTCGAAAGTCCC